CTTTTATCTTTTTTAGTAATTATTTTTTACTAGTTAATAATTCTTTATACTAAGTTTCAGTGTTCAAAACAGTGATGTGGTTTCTATCTCCTGAATAGGCTCTGACTACATAGTGATATTTTATTTTTTCCTTTCTAATTCTTATGGTTTTAACTTGCCTTATTTCACTGGCTAACATCCCTAGTAAAATGTTGAACAGTTTTGAGAGTAGGCATCTGTATTAGTTTCCTACTGCTGTTATAACAAATTACCACAGACTTAGTGGCTTAAAATAATACAAATTTATACTCTTAGATTTCTGGAATTTCAAAGTCCAAAATCAGTTTCACAGAGAAAGGAGATGCAGCCTAGAGATTTATCATATTTACTGTGAGGCTGGTAAATGCACTACAATTCTGTATCCTCTAGATTCTAGCTATTTCTTAACAGGCAGGCCTTCCAGAGTGTCTAGTCTGACATATTACCAAAATAGAATTTAAATTCAGGATTGTTGTTTGAAAGAAGCTTACTGAAAAGGAGGACTATGCCTTTTCCCAAGCATATAGTGAATTATATTTTATTTTATCGCTATCATTCCTCACTAGTAAAAAATAGAGAACCGAGATCTTAAGAAAGCAAAGAAAATGAAAAAAGATCTGCATGTAACCTGGAATGTTAAGAAATGGTAAGCATTGTATAATTTTATTACCTGATTTAGTTCGGTCTTGAAGTTGGAAACTACGAATGAGATCTGTTTTTCGTGAAACCATTCTCTCTTTCAGTATCCTGATGGCACTACTTTCTATGGTGTTCACTCTATGTTAAGAAAACAATTATTAGGTGAAAATTACATAAATCATCATGTTCTGTTTCATTTTAATGTACTATGTTACTCACCAGTTTCTGCTTTTAAAAAAAGTTTTAATTGATTTCAGAGAGAGGAAAGCAGAGGAAGAGAGATAGAAACATCAATGATGAGAGAAAATCATTGATCGGCTGCCTCATGCACACTCCACACTGTGGATCGAGCCCACAACCTGGGTGTGTCCTGACCAGGAATCAAACCATAACCTCCTGGTTCATAGGTCAATGCTCAACCCCTGAGCCACACCAGCTGGGCAATAAAAACATATTTTTTTCAAAATTATCCTGCTATATTTGGTCAAACATTTAATTAACTCACCCCTAATGCCTTGGCAGGCCCAGACCACAGGATTTTGTGAGCCGTATAAGGCCTGCAGGCCAGAAGTACCTCACCCCTGTTATATACCATATTAATAGAATAAAGGACAAAAAACACAATCATCTCAATAGATGCAGAAAACATATTTGACAAAATCCAATATTCTTTCATGATAAAAACACTCCACAAACTAGTAATAGAGGGGAACTTCTTCAACTTGATAAGGGGCATCTATAAAAAACAACACAGCTAATATACTTAATGATAAAAGACTGAATGGTGTCCCTGTTAAGATTGGGAACAAGATAAAATATCTGCTTTCGCCACTTCTATTCAACATTGGTGTGGAGGTTCTAGCCAGGGCAATTAAGCAAGAAAAAGAAGTAAAGGCATCCAGATTGGAAGACAAGAAGTAAAACTATCTCCATTCACAGATAATATGATCTTGTATATAGAACATCCTAAGGAATCCACTAAAAACTAACAGAACTAATGTAGAAGTTCATCAATATTGCACAAAACACACAAAAAATAAACTGTATTTCAATACACTAAAAATGAACCATTCAAAAATGTAATTAAGAAAATAAATTCAGCTTCTGCACAGCAAAAGAAATCAGCATCAAAATGAAAAGAGAGCCCACTGCATGGGAGAACATATTTGCCAATGATACATCTGATAATGGGTTAATTTCCAAAATATATAAAGTACTCACACAACTCAACAAAAGGAAGACAAACAATCCAATCAAAAAATGGGCAGAAGATCTAAACAGACACTTCTCCAAAGCAGACATACAAATGGCATATGGAAAAATGAGACATATGGAAAAATGCTCAATGTCACTAGTCACTAAAGAGATGCAAATTAAAACAATAATGAGGTACCACTTTACACCTGCCAGGATGGTTACCATCAAATAAATCAACAAACACATGCTGGTGGTAATATGGAGAAAAGAGAACCCTAGTACACTGCTGGTGGTAATGCAGATTGGTACAATCACTATGGAGTGGAAAACATTATAGAGTTTCCTCAAAAAATTAAAAATGGTACTCCCATATGACCCAATGATCCCACTTCTAGGAATGTATCCTAAGAAATCCAAAATATCAATCAGAAAGAATATATACACCCCTATGTTCATAGCAGTTGTATTTACAATAGCTAAGATCTGGAAACAGCCCAAGTGCCCATCAGTAGATGAGTGGATAAAAAGCTGTGGTACATTTACACCGTGGAATACTCTTAAGTGAAATGAGCCAGTCAGAGAAGACAAGTATCACATGAGCTCACTTACATGTGGAATCTAATGAACAAAATAAACTGACAAAATAGATCCAGAGACATGGAAGCATGCAACAGACTGAGGATCCTTAGAGGGAAGTGGGGAGGGAAGAGAGCAATCAAAGAATTTATATGCATATATGCATAACCTATGGACACAGGCAATAGTGTTATGAAAGCCTAGGGAGGAGAAAGGAGTGGGAAGGAAGGGAGGGTCAACGGGGGGGGGGGAGGGGGTCACCTGTAATACTTTCAACAATAAAGACAGATTTTTTAAAAATAAAAGAACTCCACTTCATAGTACCAAAAAGAATAAAATACTTATAAATGAATTTAACAAAAGACGTCTAAGACTTGTACACTGAAAAGCACAACACTGTTTAAGGAAATGAAAGAAGGTCTCAATAAATAGAATAATATGGGTTGGAAGACAATATTGTTAAGCTGGCAACAGTCACAAAATTGATCTATAGATTCAAAATAATCCCTATCAAAATCCCAGTTGGCATTTTTTTGCAGAAGTTGAGACGCTGATTCTAAAATTCATAGACAAATGTCAGGGACACAGAAAAACCAAAACTATCTCAAAAAGAACCAGGTTCAACTCACATTTCCATTTCAAAATTTACCACAAAGTTATAGTGATCAAGACAGTGTGTTACTCACATTAGGTTAGACATGTAGATCAATGGAATCCAATTTAAAGTCCAGAAATAAACCTGTACCTTATGGTCAATTGATTTTTGACAAGTGTGCCAAGACAATTGAATGGGGGAAGGATAATCTTCCTGACTGATGGTGCTAAGATAACTGAATGTCCGCAAGTACAAGAATGAAGTTGGATCCCAATCTTACACCATACATAAAATGTAACTCAAAATGGATCAGACACCCAATTGTAAAAACTTACTCAGTAAAATTCTTAGAAGAAAACATAGGAATGTGTTTGGGGTTAGGCAATGGCTTCTTAAATTTGACAATTCATATATCTAATAAGTGACATGTATACTGGCTATATAAAGAACTCTTACAACACAATAATATAAATGGGGGGATAATATACATAGGCAATTCAAAGAAGAGAAAATGCAATTTCCAAAAACATAAGATGGGTAAACTCAGCTTGGCAAAAATAAGAATAGGGTAAAAATATCTGAGACTAATGAGGATGTGAAGAAACAGTATATTGTTCTTCAGGTTGTTAATTATTACAATTCTTGGAGTATCCAGCAACATTTTAAACATCTAAATCCATAAATCTCATATTTTGAAATCTTACCTAAAAGCAACACTAAAACATACATATATATATATATATATATATATATATGCACCCAGAGAGAGAAATGTTTGTTATAGTATTGTTTTTAAGTGCAAATCCCTGGAACCATTCTGGTTGGCCATTATTTGAATAAGATTTACTCACTTCACAAGTGTTATGGCATATATACACTACAGAATATTATGTATCTATTAAAAAGAATGAATTAGGTCTATATGAACTAACGGCGTGATGTTCATGATAGAATCTTTAGGGAAAAAGTCAGTTGTAGAATAGCGTGTGCAGTGTGATTCTATCTTTATAAAAAGAAATGTATGGTGCTTATTGACTTTCTCCTCCTACTAGGATATGCATTTGATGAGGGAAAGGATTTTTGCTTATTTAGGTTATTGCTATATCCCTGTGCCTAAAACAGTGTCAGATACATAATATGTGCTCAATTTGTTTTTTATTCAATGAATGAACAATTGCTTGTCTATTTTTGTAGAAGCAAGGAGAACAGGGTGGAAGGTCCACACCAGGCTATTAATTTCAGTTACCTATGGGGAAACGGATTTTTGAAAAGTAAGGGGAGAGAGATCATTAACATTCTCTTTATATATCTCACTTCTTAATAATAAATATATTCATTTTATAATGAAAATGTTAAAAAGATAATGTTAAAGGGAGAAAAAGAAGACAAGCTATGAATGCCATTACATGGAGAAACACACACAACTCTTTTGTCATATACACTGCTGGATAAAGAAGAGACAAAGAAGTAACTCCAGACTGGGCTGTTTGAGGGCGGAGACAGACAAAACTATAGGTTACAGGGCTGGGTGGTGTGGGGACCTTTTTTTTTTTTTTTACATTCAATTAAGGACTGAATGCTGACCACTTTATCCATATAAAGAGATGTATAAATTTAAAAATTGCTCTTCTTGTTGTCAAATATGAATGTATTTGCTACTTCGTGTCTGGAACTATTTCCATACCAATGTGTAAACAATAAGTAGTTGTCTTCACCCTCGTGGCTGTTCTTAGTCACTTTGGATTGGGTATATTTGGTCACCAGTACCCATGTTCAGAATTCCCCTTAGAGTATACACACCTTTGATGAAGAGGTCTTAGGCATGTTGCCTTTGTTACTTGGTACTGGAAAAATCGAAGGGTTGTACAAAAACCAACCTTGATGTAAGCACCTCGATTACTGCCTTCTTCATAATAATTAGAAGCAGAAAATACCGTAATAACCTAATTAAAGAATAAGAGGATCAGGTTTACATAGAGGTAGTTCTCAAAATATCCTTCAATAAAGTTAGAAATAGCTCAAGTCTTAAAAAAGCAAAAATTAAACAACGTTCAGAATCCATACAAATCATTCAAGCCTGTCAAGATTTCCTGTGATTCCATTGGAGAGAAACAAGGCTTTTAAATCAGTATCCCCAGAAGTACTGATTTTTAGCCTTCATCCACACAGGGTATGGCCTTGCAATCCTGAGTATAATCTCAGCTTCAATCTTAAAATCCTCCTTAATGCTCTGTTTTGTAAATTCTAAATTTTCCAAGGGGGTAAAGCCTTTATTTTATTTTCTTGACTGATGGTGCATTCAAAATAAAACTTGTCTAGTATCAGTCTTTTGCTTTTGCTTGGAACTGACTGATTTGGAGGGCCCAAGGCACTCCACAAAACCAGTGCTTTAAGGGCATAGAAATAGTGGCTAAAATAAGGGACCATGACCACTCAGTTGGCCTTGGGGCTGTGGTGGAGGATGGATGGTAACATCTGTCAGTGACTAAAAACCTTGCTTAGATCAAGTCTTATCCTAATAAGTCACTGCTATTTTCTCTCCATTTTCTTATTACCAAAAATCCTATATAATAAAAGGGTAATATGCAAATTGACCCTAACAGCAGAATGACTGGGAATGACAGGTCGCTATGATGTGCACTGATCACCAGGGGGCAGACGCTCAATGCAGGAGCTGCCCCCTGGTGGTCAGTGCACTCCCACAGGGGGAGCTCCACTCAGCCACAAACTGGGCTGATGGCTCCAAGTGTAGTGGTGGTAGTGGAAGCCTCTCCCACTTCCTTGGTAGGATGTCCGACTGCAGCTTAGGCCTGCTCCCCACAGGACATCCCCCGAGGGCTCCTGGGGCTGCCAGAGGGATGTCTGACTGTCAGCTTAGGCCAAATCCCCCAGGGAGCAGGCCTAAGCCAGCAAGTGGACACCCCCAACGGGTCCTGGACTGCGAGAGGCTGCAGGCCGGGCTGAGGGACCCCTCTGAGTGCACAAATTTTTGTGCACTGGGCCTCTAGTCTCTAAATAATACTTGCCTTAACCACCTCACAATTGTTATTAAGAGCCTGAAATGTAGTAATATAGTTAAGAAAAGCAAAAGTGTTGAAATAGAAGGAAATGACATGCAAATTTATATTCTTTTGTATTCATTGCTGTTCAGTATTAGAAAAAGGAGTATCCCAGGACAAATTGGGACAAGAAATCAGTTCCTCAGTCCTCACCTTTTCTAGCCTTATTACACACCACGTCAGGAGCACAATATACTCCATTTTAGTGGCTGCAGCTTAACTAACTACAGTGAATGACTTCCTAGAGATCACCTTCTCAAGTGAGTGGAGGGGAAATGTATTTTGTTGCTCTGCCCTGCACCAGGAACATGCAAAGGTGAAAGAGCAAACTGGATTCACGGCTGCCATTTAATTGCTCAATGAGGATAAGTACATTCTCAACCCCACCTTACTGGAGATTTGCCTTTCGATTAGTAAAAGCCTTTCTAGGTGTGTACTTAGTGTTGTATGTCAGTTTCTGTCTTTGGGATTAGGGAAGATGATGGAATTAAACCAAATATCCCTTAGGGTGAGGGACAGAGAGGCCCCGTCCAACAATGTATGTAAACCCTACAGCAGTGATGGTGAACCTATGACACGCGTGTCAGAGGTGACACGCGAACTCATTTTTTGGTTGATTTTTCTTTGTTAAATGGCATTTAAATATGTAAAATACGTATCAAAAATATAAATCTTTGTTTTACTATGGTTGCAAATATCAAAAACTTTATATATGTGACACGGCACCAGAGTTAAGTTAGGGTTTTTCAAAATGCTGACACACTGAGCTCAAAAGGTTCACCATCACTGCCCTACAGTCTCCTGTTTCTGTCTACCAAAGCATGGCCTTCTCTCTAGGTACCAGGGAAGACATCTTTCCATGGGCGTTTAGGTGAGACACATCCTGTGAACAAAGACTGTGCTTAGGGGAAGGATGTCTGTGATGGTGTCACCAACAATGTTAGCTTACCTTCCCATCATGGCATATTTCATACCCTTCAGGCTTACATTCATGAGACCTAATGAGCAGCTTCAAATGGTTTTTATTAAGAAACTTCGAGGTAACATCTGGCCCAAAATAGCAGCCCCCTCCTCGACATGTGTTTGGATAACAGCCTCGTTTCCCTCTAGGATCACTCCACAGAATATCGATAACCTTAAAACAACAAACCAGATTAGGCTGCTATTTACAAGAGAGAGTTTATCTTTCTAGATTCCAAATTCTTTTCCAGAAATATTTACCCACATTATCCCAAAGTCTTACTATTTCTCATTCCTCTTTCAAAATTATTTCATATTTTTATCCTTCATGAATCTCTTCAAGAATAGTTTTAATTTTATCGCCACCAAAATCCCTTTCTGCTCATCCCCAATAACCAATGTTGCAATAATAGTAACTGATGTAGAAATACCTAGTAATCATGAAGAATCAGCCCCTGGCTTTTTTTTTAATCCATCACAAATGTTTCACAATTGCTGATTCTACAAAAGTCTTTTCTCTTAAAAGAACTTAATTGTCATGTTCAAAGGAGATAGCCATTTCCCCACAATGAACACACATTAGGTATTCTTAATATGGCCAAAGAGATAAGGTAGGTCTCTCAGTTGTGGCTTTGGCCCTGGTGTTTGTACTGTGGAGTACATAAGGTGAGGAAGTCTTTTTCCTATCACAAATATAGACAACTGCTTATCCAAGAATACCTCCTAAAGCATCTCTTTTGACTTTATGCCCTCTTGATAAGTACATCTCAGTTTCAACAATACATTTAGCCACTGGTTGGTTTCCACAATGTGTTCTACTAAACCCACAAGTATTTTATTCGCATAACATTTTCTTTTGGGGCTGAAATAAGCAAAAGCAGTCTACATGATGTCCAGGACAAAAGACCCAAGTTTCTAAGAATATTTTAATAGAAATTTGGGGGCTTCCTGTTTGTGGCTGTAATCTATGTATAATGTTTCTTTATTCAAATGTCTCCTACAGGAGCTTAAACAGTAGTGAAAAAAACTAATTTTGTCACTAAATATGTATAACCTTGAGAAAGCTCTCTGGATCTGTTTCTAGATCTTTCAAATCAGAGGTTTGGGCCATAAGACTTGTAAAGTATCTCAAAGTTCTAACAAACCATGATTCTAAGAGTCTATATTTTCCACGTGCTTCTTTTGAGGGAATGAAGAAGCATGCATTTTAAGTTTGTACAGTTACTCTCATGCTGTGGTTCTCAACCTTCCTAATGCCGTGACCCTTTAATACAGTTCCTCATATTGTGGCGACCCCCAATTTCATTGTTTCAAATTGAACATAATTAAAGCATAGTGATTAATCACAAAAATATGTAATTATATATGTTTTCCAATGGTCTTAGGCGACCCCAGTGAAAGGGTTGTTCGACCCCCAAAGGGGTCGCGACCCACAGGCTGAGAACCGCTGGTCTAGTGGGTCTTAAGAAGAGAGCCAGAAGTGGCTGTCCCACTAAACATGATAGTACAGCTATTTATAGATTTGGCATTGAAGGAGAGCTAGATATAAGGGAAAAGACAGTGAGGTGGAGAAAAGAACAGAACAGGCTGGGTAACTGCTCTGGGATGACAGGCACCAGGTCAGAACTGGAGAAACACTGCACCAGACACATTTCAGACACTTGTAGAGTTTTTGATGACTGATTAAAGTGAGAATTAAAACCACCCAAAGATGATTCTCCTTTCTTCCCTACTAAATTCAATCACTAGAACAACCCTACCCTACAAATAAATAAAATGGAACCCATTTACTTTGCTGGTGTTTATGATAAAAGTAACACTTGCATTTTAAACTGAATGATATCTTGCTCCTATACCATAAACTCATGTTTGGAGGATAACTTGGCATCCTATATAATAAAGAGGTAATATGCAAAATGACCCTCATGCCCTCACATCACAAGATGGCTGCCCCCACATTGTCACAAGATGGCCACCCCATGTCATCACAAGATGGCCACTCCACATCATCACAAAATGGCGCCACAAGATGGCTGCCCTCACATCATCACAAGATGGCTACCCCCAAGTCATCACAAGATGGCCACCACAAGATGGCCGCCCCACGTTGTCACAAGATGACTGCCCCCACATTCTCACAAGATGGCCAACAGGGGAGGGCAGTTGGGGGTGATCGAGCCGGCAGGGGAGCAGTTAGGTGTCAATCAGGCTGACAGGGGTGCAACTAGGGGCAATCAGGCAGCCAGGCAAGCAAGCGGTTAGGAGCCAGCAGTCCCATATTGTGAAAGGGATGTCCTACTGCTGGATATATTTTATTGATTTTTTACAGAGAGGAAGGGAGAGGCTTAGAGAGTTAGAAACATCGACCAGCTGCCTCCTGCACTGCCCCTACTGGGGATGTGCCTGCAACCAAGGTTCATACCCTTGACTGGAATCAAACCTGGGACCCTTCAATCCGCAGGCCGATGCTCTATCCACTGAGCCAAACTGGTTAGGGCCAGACTGCTGGTTTTAAACTGGTAGATGGACATCCTCTCAGGGGCCCCAGATTGGAGAGAGTGCAGGCTGGGCTGAGGAACACCTCCCCCCCCTCAGTGCATGGATTTCATGCACTGGGCCTCTAGTTTAGTATAATAAAGGAGAAAACATGGAACACAAGGAGTTTTGTTTCATAAGGAGGGGATTAAGATTTAAATTCCACCCTAACCATTTGGCTCAGTGTATAGAGCATCAGCCTGCAGACTGAAAGGTCCCAGGTTTGATTCCAGTCAAGGGTATGTGCCTTGGTTGCGGGCACATCCCCAGTGGGGGGGTGTGCAGGAGGCAGCTGATCAATGTTTCTCTCTCATTGATGTTTCTAACTCTCTGTCCCTCTCCCTTCCTCTCTGTAAAAAATCAATAAAATATATTTTAAAAAAAGATTTAAATTTCCAAATGAGGTGTAAGTCAATTATGCCAAAATTACTCCTGGAAAACCTCTTAAATTACCCTTAAAGCACAGTATATATGATTTTGTATATACAACCCTATATAGCAATGAGGATGTGTGATATTTTATATATGTGATAATGTATAATATATTATATGAAAGTAAAATTTTATACATTTCTCTCCTTTTTGCCATATGTATATAGTTGAAATTTACATAAATTAAATGCACATATGATGGGGCTCTGTTGAAATAGATTAATCACTGGCCAAGGAGTTAATTCTTCAAGTGTCACCTATGTCACTTGGGACAAATCACTTTGCCTATTCAGGCCTTAGATGGCTCAGCTATGAAATGAGGAAGATATATGTAACACTCATTTTTCTTTGATTCAAAGTCATAAGGGATAGGTTTATAGAAATGAACTTCAGAATCATTCATTCCTTGAATTCTGCATTTCTTTTTTGTCTAGAATTCATTCACTTGAGTAGGTTTACACAGACTGTGGCTACAACATAGATTTAATTCTGAGGCTCACAAACAAAAACTTCTATAAAGGGTGAAACAAATTCCTAGGCAGAGATAATCTCTTCTCTGGAACACCCTGTCTCCTCTGACATGCAGGGTATTTTGGGTGATAAGTACAAAAAGAATAACTACTTACCATTCTTTCCTGAAATTGTCAAACTAAAAATTGGGAAAGTTTTACTGAATGACAGCTTTTTATGACCTGTTCAATAAATATCTGATTACAAAACACTGTTGAAACTAAAGATCTGAAGAAATGGAAAGACATTCCATGTTCATGAAGTTGAAGATATAATATTAAGAGTGCAATAGCATCTAAATTGATCCACAGATTCAAGGCAATGCCTACCAAAATCCCAGCTGCTTTTTGGTAGAAATTGACAAGCTGATCCTAAAATTCATATGGAAATTTAAGGGATCCAGAATAGTCCCAAAAAAATCTTGAAAAAGAAGAAAAAAGGGTGGATAACTCACACTTCCCAGTTTTAAAACTTCATACAAAGCTACCATAATCAAAACTGTGTAGTACTAATCTTATCTAATAAAGAGGGAATATGCAAATTGACCATCACGCTATAATGGTCAAGATGGCTACGCCCACAGCGGAGGCAGGGATTCTATAACACAAGAGGGCTGTGTCCACAGTGGAGGCAGGGATTCTGTAAAACAAGATGGCTGTGCCCACAGCGTAGGCAGAGTTCCTGTAATGAGCCTTAAGGAGCAATCAGCAGGGACCTGAGGCTGCATGGTGCTGGGCCAGGACAGGGGGCCTGGCCAGGGGACCTCAGGCCGCATCCCCAGCCCGGAGATGGGCTGGGGAACCTCAGCCACACCCGCTGTCACAGCACCGGGCCAGAGGACCTGAGGTCACACCCCCCGTCCCCGTGCCAGGCTGGGGGACCTCAGGTCATGCACCCCTCACCCGGGGCTTGACGTCCTGGTGCCAGGCCAGGGGACCTCAGGCTGCGCCACCTGCCCTGGTGCCAGGCTGGAGGACCTGAGGTTGCACTCCCCACCCCAGCACCAGGTTGGGGGACCTGAGGCCGCACCCCCCACCATGCAGTGCTTGACAGGGGACTTCGGGCTGTGCCTTCCACCCATGGGGCTTGACAGGGGACCTCAGGCCATGTCCCCCAACCATGGGACTTGACGGGGGACCTCAGGCCATGCCTCCTGCCCCAGTGCCAGGCCAGGGGACCTGAGGCTGAACCCCCCCCCCGCCTGGTGGGGCTTGGCGGGGGACCTCAGGCTGTGACCTCTGGCCCAGGTCAGGGGACCTCAAGGTGCACCACCTGGCCCAGGCTGGGGGACCTCAGGCTGCGCCCCCTGCTCCGGCGCCAGGCCAGGCAACCTGAGGCCGTGCCCACCTGGAGGGTTTGATGAGAGTAGGGCCGGCCAGGTCTGGATCTAGTCCAATGAGGGTGGGGCCAGCCAGGTCTGGGTTTTGTGTGATTTCGAGACACATGTGGGTGGGCGGGGATTTGACTCTGGTTCCCATGGCATGCCCCAGACTCTGACAGGAGGAAGATTTTCATATACATTTTACTAATTTTCTTTCATCTTTGATACTTCTATTATAAAGAGCAAATAGCAATATTAAAATATTTCCTCTAATTAATTCCCTTTCAATGTACACAAATTTCGTGCACCGGGTCACTAGTATAAGGATAAACATATAGATCATGGAATATAATTAAGATTCTAGAAATAAACCTTCATATTTAAAGTCAATTGATTTTTGGTGGGGATACCAAGAAAATTCAGTGGGATCAGTCTTTTTAACAAATGGTGCTGGGATAACTGGATATCCACATACAACAGAATGAATTTTAACACCTACCTCATACCATACACAAAATTAACTAAAAATGGATCAGACACCTAAATGTAAGAGCTAAAACTATAAAACTCTTAGAACAAAACATAGGAATAAATCTTCATGACTTTAGGTTAGGCAATGACTTCTTAGATACCAAAAGGACAAAGCAAAAGCCCTGAGTAAAAGAAGCCAGACACAAGAGATCAAATATTGTAACGTCCAGAAAAGGCAAATGTATAAAAACCAAAAGAGATTAGTGGTTACCTAAAACTAAGGGGAGTGGGGCTGGGAGAGTGGGGAGGTGGGGAGGAAATGGGGAGTGACTGATAATAGGTATGGAGTTTATTTGGTGATAAAAATATTCTAAAATCAGACTGTGGTGATAGCTGCCCAACACTGTGAAAATACCAAAAAACAATGAAGCATATACTTCAAATAAGTACGTTATGTGGTATGGGAATTATATATCAATAAAGCTGTCAAAAAATAGTGATAAATTCAGTGAGAAGGATATGATCTGTGTATAAATGCAAGTCACTTTTTATCTCTATATTGTAAGGGACAACATAATTATGCTGTGTCTTCTTTGCCACTTTGGTGAACAATCTGATGACCTACCTGTTCCCACTCATGCTTTGTTAAATAATCAGAAGGTGATCCACTTAATTTGACTCCCCGAGGCACATGTCCTTTATTATTCATCTCAGTAAAACTATCTTTATCCACTGGAACTGGTGGCATTAGCACGGATTTCATCTACAAAAGAAATTATTGCTTTAGTCAAACCCTATGCTTGGTGTGCTGCATGCAAAAACTTCAGTACCAGTTGCTATTATGTCTACATTGTTGTGCCTCAACCCAGTGAAAAACGCATGGTCATCTTTTGCATCTCACCCATTTTCTTTATCTTAGTAATTCATTGATATCTAGAAAGTGAGCCTGTTAAATTCTGCTTGTACAATTTTCAAATAGATACATTTGCCCTACAGGGAAAGTTTCCCATTAGTTTCTAAAGGACCCTAGAGGCACAGATGTCAGTGCTAGACATGTTCTGAGGCATCATCTCAGGAAATGGAAGATGCTAAGGGAAAACTTTCTCCCTCTGAGCCTTTATCTATACACTAGAGGCCCAGTGCACAAAATCCATGCATGGGGGGGGTCCCTCAGCCCAGCCTGCACTCTCTCCAATCCAGTACCCCTCAGGGAATGTCCAACTGCCAGTTTAGGCCCTGCAGGATTGGGCCTAACCAGCAGTCGGACATCCCTCTTGCAACCTGGGACTGCTGGCTCCTAATTAATTGCCTGCCTGCCTGCCTGATCACCCCTAACCACCTCTGCCTGCCAGCCTGATCACCCCTAACTGCCCTCCCCTGCTGACCTGATTGCCCCTAACTGCCCTCCTCTGCTGGCCTGATTGCCTCTAACCAACTCTGCCTCGGCCTCTGCCACTGTGGCTCTGTCCGGAAGGATGTCTGGTCTAATTAGCATATTACCCTTTTATCAGTATAGATGGGGCTAAGAGAGAACCAATAGGCTTTGATTTCAGAAATACTTCAAAAGTGGCTGCTTTTCATTTTGTTGTGTTTTCCTGGAGAAATGTGAGAAAGTACATTTATGTCCAGGAAAGTTCTCAAAGGGGACATAAGCTGAAAACTTTGGAAGCCCTTCAACTTAAATGCAATGTGCTCTCAATCTGACCTGCCAGCAATTGGTGCTGTTCTCTAATCCTACTAATAAAGTGATACATTTCTTTGGAAAATGAAATGTCTTTCTGATAGTATGCCAATTACTATAATCCCTTCTATATTCCCTTACATAACTTGAGACTGTAATTTTACACTTGTTTCTTTATAGCACCCTACCCTTATACAAAATAATTTTTAACACTAATTCTGTTATATTGATGGCCTTAGTTCAGTGATAGACAATTCTCTGTGGTAGGTTCTTAGTTTCTTCTATAAACTAGGGTGTATATGAAATCTTACCTTTGTTTTTCAAAAATAAAATTGAATCTTATTCTGAGGTCCTGTCTCATTGAGATTGTTGGAAATTCAATCTCAGCTATTATTGGTAAGTTCACAACCTACCCTCCTCATCCCCCTTCCCCAGAAAATGTCCCCAGGTCTTACACAGAGCAGAATATTCTGGGAGGACACTCTGGACTTGGGTCCACACAATTTCTGATAAACTCACTGGGCAAGTCCACATGGTCTCTTAAGTATGTGTGGCTCTTCTGTTTTCATGGCCAATTGGGATCAGGATACTTTGCCCCCCCCCCTTCCTAAGGTACCACAACATCATTTTCTCCTAGAGGACCTTCTAACCATCCCTCCCCCATCCCCTGCCAGGGAGTTTGAAGAATACTAGAATCTTAATCTTGCATAGTATTCCTTCTCCATCCCTCTGCACTGACCCATCGTCCCAAACTGCCCACCTTACAAAATACCTTTAATGAACCTAGAATGGAGGTTGTCATCAGGTTCCCCCAACCCTCCCCCTCCCCTATTAACAGTTATACCACAACAGGTGTAAAACAGGAAGCATGGTCACCCTACACTTGGAAGGTCCTAAGGGATGGAAAAGTAGGGGTTATAAATTTGGACTTGAGGCTCTAGGCAGGTCGCTCAGTTGGTTGGAGCCTTGCCCCCATGTATCAAGCTTGGAGGCAAGCATATGCAGGAGGCAACCGATGAATGCATGGGTGAGTGGAAAAATAGACTGATGTTTCTCTCTCTTTCTCCCCTTTCTCTCCCTTCCTCTCCATTCCTCTTTCTCAAATCCATTTTTTAAATTAAAAATAAATAAAATTGGATTTCAAAATCTACTTTTGTATCCCATCTGGTAGAGTTCTAAAGGCTTGGACCTACTACTTTTATTACAGCTCAATTATATTTAATACAACTATGTGCTGCCAGTTAAACCTCACTCTAGGAGAGTAGAAGCTACAAAAACTATGTAAGTCAAATTTTTATCTTTAAAATCCATCTTATGAGTTGGCAGAACAATGATCCTTAAATGGTAGGAAATGTGAGGTATCCTGGGAAAATTCCTGGTCCAGAAACCTCTACCGAGAGTCTGTCTTCATGACTGAAATTCAAACCTTAGTCCAAGTATCAGGAAAAAAAGGAAAGAGTTGGGGAAGAGAGCTCTATGTTCAGAGATTACTCTATGATGTTTTCTTCATTTAGGTAATTATATTTAATCCTAATAATTCAATATGGCAGGTATTTTTAGCTTCAATGTATAGGTATGGAAACTGAGACCTAGACAACTTTGGTTCCTTGCCAGTCACCCAGTCAGGGAGTGGCAAAAGCAGGATGAAAAGCTAGCTATACCTGTCTGATGTCAGAACTTCATGGTATTTACTAGATCAAGGTGGCTCTCAATTTAGAGACAGTAATGGGCATTCCAGATACATGAGATCTTAATACCTGAAAAAGCTCTAGAGAGGAAATGGATAAAGGACTTAAATGTAAGACGGGAAACCATAAAAATACTGGAGGAATCCAAAGGCAACAAAATCTCAGAATATGCCAGAGCAATTTCTTCACCGATACAGCTCCTAGGGCATCAGAAACTAAAGAGAAAATAAACAAATGGGACTACATCAAAATAAAAAGCT